CCTATATACAATAATATGTATATAATTATAGACTAAATTTAAACACATTTTCATCTAATATTATGCCTATATATTTACGTATCATATAATTATTTTTATATTATTATATTTAAACATATATATATATATATATATATATAATATTTTGTTTTATGCAATTTTCAAGTACACGATTAAAACATTATAAATAAAGATCTGAAAAAAATACATTAATACTTTTTTTTAAATAAAAATATATAAAGTTATATCTCACTAATATAATAATATAATTTCTGCATCATATATATTATATTGTATATACATTAATATATGTTGCATCTTTGCATCAACCTATTTAGTCCTGTTAGGGCCATAGCCGCAATATGTACAGTATTATATGTATCATCATCATCATCGTCATCATCATCATATTAGCTGTTATCGGCCCACTGCAGGGCGGAGGCCTCCTCAAGCTGAGACCATTTACTTAACATTTCTAACCTCATACTTATCATATATAGGCCTAGGGCCTATATATATATTATTATTATTATTATATATATATACACATATATATATATATATTGGCTATATATATATATAGGCCTAGGTTATATATATATATATATATATATATATATATAAATAATATACATCAAATATGTTTAAAGGTATAACGTTCTACAAATTACGGTTATGCAGCCTATTCAAAATTATTATTCAAGTAATTATATAGGAACATTATACTGATCTTATTTGGCAAGCATATGATTACGACCATAGAAATAGTGTAAAATTTCTCGACTACAAATTTCTTAATCATAATTTTTAGGGTTAAAATAAGCAGATCATTTACCGTCTGCTGAAAAGTACACGCGCGTGTGCTTTTTATACTTGAAGAGCGAGTTGAGATGACAGAGTAAAAGTGCGAAGTAAGTGTCGCGATAGTGTGAGTTATAAACACTGGCATACAACCAGGCTGTAAAATATCTCAGGTAGTCATGACCAGATTCAAACTTGGTCATCTCATGTTACAAGAGAAACCCAGTAAAGCAGAAGCAAAATAATGCCTGTCACGCCTTCTTTCAGTCATTTTGAATTCTAGCGTCTTACACTATGGAACTCGATCTGGTAAAGTCATCGATGGTAGAGTATTACCCAGCCCTATCCAGACCCTGTACAAACAAAGTGCCCCATTGTCCTTAAAACAAGCTCGTATCACACTTCTTAATAAAATACTCAAACTATAGCATTCTATTCACTTGTACATTAGTATAATTTTGTTGAAATAACATTATTCCTTACACACTTGGTACAAGTTGCCCGGAGTCACTAACTTGAGTCTGCCCAGACGAAGTTGGCTTTGTGTAGGGGGCGTCAGCGATCCAAAAAACGCCCGTAGTCAAGTCGCAAGCCTATTCAGTACTAACGAGTAAATCTTTTAATTTCGTTACCACTTGGTTCGTTCTATTCATCACAGCTAGTATTTGTATAGTACTTACAATTACTACTTTAGCGCTTAAGGTGGTCAATTTATTCAATCACAACATATCTTATCATCGTTAGCTTAGGCAAGTTTTTATAGCGATTAACATAGGCTCTTCACAAGGGGCACAATACATAAGGGATTTTCTTTTCGTCTTTATTCGTTTCATTATTTAAGTATTGGAACAGCGTTTGCAGAACATATTCTGCCCCTAGGTTACACTTTTCTTTGATTTTTTGTTTTTCTTGAGTAAAAACGGGGTTGCTGGTGCAGACGAACTGGCGCTACAACAAAAATATAATTCTTCTAAAGACATGGATTTTGTCCTATTGATTGACAACGTCTTCTGGTGGTTGTGAAATCATAGTAGTGGCCTATCAATTATATGAACATTTTTATATAAATAATAAGTCTTTACAATACTATAATATGATGATAATAAAAAATAATAACATTAATATTAATAATGATAATAATGATGATGATAATGATAATGAGTAGTATTTAATAATATGAATATTATTATGCCACTCCGTATATTCTATACAGTAAGCTTTCTTTAGTTAAGGCATATCTTTTTTATTATATGTGATTGGTTATGCCATATGTCAACACATAAGATGCACACTTTTATACATGCTACCGCTTTACCAATAGGCATACTGTTTAGTTCTTTAAAAAAAAAAATTTTGGGTAAAGTTGCTTCAACGTATGGCGCTTTCAATTGGAAAATATCGTCAAAACAGTCCAGAGACAAATGTCACGCATAGGTTTTTGTTGTATTTTGAAACTTTTGTTCAATTTCCGAGCCTCGCAACGGGGGTAGTTTCAAGACGGAAAACAATTCGCACAAAGAAAACATAAAGGAATATAGCCAGGTGAAATTAGCGTTTTATGTGTCAAAATTAAATGAGATTAGTTCGACCTTTCGGTACTGGCTCAAAAGAGGCACACGCAAGAAATTATATGAAAACAATGTAACCCAGCTGACAGGGGCTCGGAATATTGGCAGAAGAAAAGAAAGGAAATCCAATTAAAATAAATTAATTGTTGCGTTAATGAGTGCCATAATGAATAATATCTGTTTTTAAAAAGCCAACATGCAAATTCGGTGATTGGTTGATTTTATAATTGTACATCATTTTGGCGTCATGTTTTGCTATTTTCCTCTACAAGCCTAAACGAATAAATGTGTATAATAAAGAAATTATAATATTATGGCAACGTGATACTGATATTCATATATCGTTCTATTTTAAACTAGATAATTGATTAAGTATTAACCAATTAATTACGTAATTGCTATAGGCCTATTGACTGTTGAACAATGTAAATAATGCATAGACATCATTTGATAGTTTAATCGGAGAGTAAGTGAGAAATATTGAACGATGCGTTATTATAATTTAAACGATAGAATCGCTCTTAGAAATTCATCACCATTTGACTAGAATTATTATCTTGTTCGTCTGATAGCGACACATTCCTCAAATATTGCGCCAAATTTTTCACATTCGCTTCAATAACTTTCTTTCGGACAAACCCTGGGGTGTTGCGAGTAACACTGTTCATGTGTCCCTAAACTACACGTGCCCGGGGTAAGGTTGGTTGTCCCTAAACTACACGTGCCCGGGGTAAGGTTGGTTGTCCCTAAACTACACGTGCCCGGGGTAAGGTTGGTTGTCCCTAAACTACACGTGCCCGGGGTAAGGTTGGTTTAAGAAGACAACTCAGAACACTTTAGGAACTAGTAATGTTTGTTCTTTCTGTTGTGCTACAACAGTTTTTCGCGCCTTTCTCTGGTAAATATAGCTGACAACTCGAGTAATATTACACCAATTGTTTGCTTGTACGCGCAGGGATGTTCTGACTAATACTTTATAATCCTGTTAGTATTTCAATGTTTCGTATACAAATTTGATCAAACGGTTAAGGCTCCACTTAGGAACTATCAATTTGGTCGGTATTCTAATAGTGTAAATCGCTAATAATATTATCTGCTTGGGGACAAGTACGGTACGACTAACTGTAAAATGTTTTGCTACATTGTGTTAATCTGATTAGGACGAGGAGCTGATCGTTGAAAGCATTGCTATTAAACTCAATGATAAATTAACTTGATATACTCAACACGATTAAGCGCGCTGTTCACTTGGTATGCTTAGCTCATAGCGTATCAGACAATGTTTACATATTTCATTTATTACATTATTGGTGCGCATTTTAACGGCAGTTAGAATTTACCAGCTAAAGGATTAACGGATGGGACTACTAATTTTCAATTAACTGAACTCATAGTTTTACTTAATTTGTATGTAAACAGTGTTCAAGGGCTTGATTCTGATTTAATATTACGTGGAATTCAATTCCGATGGAGACATTTTTGTTTGGTTTACCTAGGCAGATTTGAGGTCGATGTCAGTGTCTGCCTTTTAGAAGTGATGGCATGTTTTTAAAATAATTAATATTGCAATGAGTTTCTGTGTGTATTCGTATTGTAAATAATGTACCGGAAATTTTGGCCTATCCTATTATAC